CAAATTGGATTTAGGTAAACCGATAGAATCCTGAAATTTTAAATTAAGATTGGTGTATGTGGGAAGTGTTGGAAATTCGTATGTTAATGTAGGAAGTTATGGCAATTTATATATTTATGTTTACTAACTGGTACTTAATTTGGATTTGGGTGAAGCTATATTTGAAATTTGGAAATTTAGCAAGAGTAAAAATTTTGTATAGAGCTTGATTTCTTTTGCGGTCAGAATTTGTGTGTAGGGTTGAGTACTATAAGAGAACATTGGTACTAAACGGTTCTAAAAGTGTTAATATTGGTTGGTATTGGGTTTTAAATACTTTCCACATTCGCTGACGAAGTAGCGGGTATATGCTAGTGCTTTATATAAATCAATTTTGCAGAAATATTTTGCGTTCTTCAAGCTGTTAAAAATTTCATCTATACGACGAATTGGGTAGTGAGCTGATTGAAGTTGCTGGTTTACCCCAATTTTGTATTTAGCTATTCTACTTTACCACGCAAGGAAAATGGTACTTGTCTCTCCCTAACAAATACAGCTTTAGTATCGTCTTTCAACTTGAGATTGCACGTGAAACCTGGAATACAGCCTATTTTTTCTTCGAAAATCTCAGCGTACTTCTGCATAATTTGCTCAATTGAATTTATTGCAAACACCTTACCTTGGTCCAAATCTGACATCGTATTGTCAAGATCGTTTAGATTTATTCCTAAATGACGTATCCATACACGTCCTAGTAATGCTGAATGGTTCGACGAAACTACGTTTATTTGCTCTCGTGATGACTTTTTGTTGAATTGAACTTCGACATCCACAACACCTAATGGCTTGAATATATCTCCGGTGTACTTTCGAAAAGCTATGTTGTTGATTTTAATTTATAAGGTATTTTCTATTTGTCGTAGTCGCCTTTGGGAATTAATGTGAATCCTGCATCTGAATCCACTTCAAACTGTTGTTTCTCGCCTTCAATTAAAAGTGCAATATAAAATTTTTTTGCATCTGAATTTGATACAGATGAATTGTAGACGCTAAAAATTTTGTTTATGCCATAACCATTTGTTTCACAAATTTCCAAAGTATTAGCAGAATTTTCGTTTTTGTTTTTATTCATCTTTTCCTTAATGCATACTGACTTTACATGACCAATCTTTAAGCAGGCAAAACATTTCAATTTCCTTTTGTTCATTTTACACTCCTTCGCAATATGATTTGATTTGCCGCATCGGAGACATAATCCATCCAGACCTAACTCTCTGTAATTCACTTTAATTTTTATTGTTCTGTTTTTGTAAATGCTGCCGCTCCTAGCTCTGCCTCTGCTCTGCTCGAAGTTTTCGTTCTTTGCCTTTTGTATTTGATTTACATTAGATGGTGAACTGGTATTAGTGGAGATTGCGGTGTTGTCAATTTTAGCTGCGTTGGATTTTGAAGTAACTGTTCTCTTATGTGGCTACTGCGTAATCCCCTTATAAATTGCGATTTGAGAAAATATCAGCAACTGATTTTTGGCACACACACGCACAAATTCACAATCTGCTGCTGTTTTTTGTAGCACTGATACAAAATCCGTTATTGACTGATCCTCATTTTGGACTTCTGACAAAAATTTATGCTGTTCCACTAATATATTATTTTTTGGACAAAAATGAGATTCAAATATTCCAATTATTTCCTCGTACTTCAGGCTGTTAATACTTTTTGGTGCTACTAAAGATGTTAGTAGAGCGTAATTTGTTGAGCCAATGTATTGAAGTAAGAGTTTTGCGCACATCTCTTTATCGTAAAATATTTTCTTCAATTGAAAATGGATTTCTATGCGTTCTTTATAATTTTTAAAAGATTCCACTTTTGGATCGAACGGTTCAAAACTTGAAATCACATTAACATTTGTTGTTGGAACTGCACTTTGGTTACGTTCATGCATTGCAGTTGTCATCGTCGTTATTGCTTCTAATAATTTTTGCATTTGCTCTTCCATGTTGATGTTATTTTAATGCAACAATTGTTTGATTTTATTTAATTTTTTATTGGCGCTTTGATTTGCACGTTATAATTTTTTTTTTGCACTTTTAGGTTTTAATCCTCGCCACCATTTAATTGTTATGTCTTTACTTCAATAGACAAACGACAACTCTTTATTAAAATTTAAAATGAACTACATATATACAAACTATGAATATGAGAAACAGTAATGGATAATAATGGATAAACAATATATAATATTTTACAGTGTTGTTATATTCAAATGTATTATTAGTGATGACAATACAGGATTGTGACGACACTACAGATATTATGAGTTTTTATCCTGTTCTGGTTGGTATTTCGCGATTAAAATGTTGACAGCAAGACAAGACTAAGGCATGAATTCGTCTGCCTGTTAACGTTATGAATAAACCTTGGATATTGCCTTTCAAGTTATTCTGAACAAAAACTCGTAATTTTGCTTTCCCCTTATTCTAAATGAAGTTCGAAAGCAAAAAAAAAAAAAAAAAATCAGGGAAAATAGATATTCTGGATTAGAGAAAGTGCGAGAATGTGATGAAATTTCGTGGGAAAATTTCGTAAATAAATTCAAAGTGAGCTGAACATAAAAATATAATTATTAAATATCTCCACAGTAATTATTCTACGGCCATTTTGAATATTATAAATGGTTATTTTTAACTCAAAAACAACAAATAAAATACAATTGGATAACGATGCTGCATTTTCAATCAAATATTGCCACGGAATGTATAACAGCAATATGGAAGATTAAATCCGTGTTTTGTGCAATTTGAAGGCGGTAAAATTAAATTTTGTGCGAACAAAGCTACATATTTACTTTATATATTTATTTAATTTATCGTCTGCAGGATTTGAAGAACGAAATAAATTAGCATATAATAAAATAGTTGGCTACTTTCAAAATTAGACATATTACAAACTCCAAATTGGAATCGATTTAATGAACTCCCTTAGTTTAAATATGACAATATGCGTTAACATACAAAAACCATAAAAGTAATAATTACTCAGTAAGTTCTTTTGTGAGATTAAAAAAGTAAAAAGACTGCATTTTGTACAAATTTTCGGATTTGTTTAAAAATACTTGAGTTGACATATCCTTTGTTTTTTGCTTGTACGAAAATTTACTATGCAAATTTTCCCAGTAAGATTTGTTATTAATCAGTAAAGCAAAATTCAACATTACGGATGGCAACCATAGTTTAGTGGCGTTGCCAGTTGCCAAATTTGCATTACGGATGGCAACTTTTGTCAACTTCAGTTGCTTCAAATATAATTTTTTGGCAACAATTTATTTCTGGTTGCTGTTTATAATAACTGAACTTTGTAGGTTTCCCCTAATGGCTAATATTACTACAAAAGAAAAATTTGAGGTCCTTATTGCCCGGATGGAAGCTCACCCAAATGTAGCACGTGGGGTGCGGACTTTTGGTCAAACCAAAGCCACTATTGATGATGTGTGGAAGGCCATTTCAGAAGACCTTAACTGCTATGGCCCACCAACACGCATTCCAAATGAATGGCAGAAAGTGGCGAACATCTTTTGGGTCCATGATATGTACGTGTGTATCATCAATACATCCGACAACACCCTGGAACTTTGTTTTCGAATAAAAACATTTTATTCTTCCCTTTTTTTCCTCCGTTAATTTGGATACAATCCAAATTTTACAGATTAGCCGGATAACTTCGGCGAAAACCACCGACATTGTCGGTTGAGCCAAGCCAAGGTTGAAGTCATTGCTATGGGACTTTTGAAAACGTCCCTCCACAAAAAAACATCAGAGCTGCACACATTTTTAAGAGAGGAGGAATTGCTGTTGACCGCCAGGCTTTCGGAGATCAGGGTTTAAGGCTTTATCTATGTACACAACGGCATCTTTTGGTAGTCGAAAATACGCTATACATAAATTTTTATAAAAATGCAAACTCCTTTCTTTCCTTATTTCTGCTTTAATATATTTTTTCGTACTACGACATTTGGTTTGTTCTCGTACTGCAAGAATCTACTCGATTTTACTATTTTCGTCGATATCATAAAGGAAAATTCGTTATCGTAGTAAAAAGTAGTAGATTCTAGCAGTACGGGAACAGACCAATTGTAAAATTCTTCAAAATTATTATATTTTTCATTTTATTTATTGATAAATGAGTAGTATTGACAACTTAAAATGTAAAAGAAAGAAAAATAATAAAAATATGAATTAAATGAATACAATATGTTTTTTCTTTAAAGTGATTTTATAGTATTTTTAAGAGAAGTGGTCTGAAAAAAATCAATTTGTGTTCTTGTTGTTGCACCAAATTGCATCAAACAATTAATAGCTATTTCACATGCCGTACATGTTGCTACATTTTCACATTAAAATTAATTTTTTAAAAACTATTGTTTTGTTTATGGACCTTGTTCTTCCCTGTTCATACAGAAAATTGTTTGGATTGTAAGATCACTCCCTTGCGAAGAAGCCAGTATATATAATCCCACATTCTGAACCGATCGGATCATTTCACAATTAACAACATATTCGAGAGCTAATTACGCCCGTAGATGACATTACAGATTACCAAATCGGTGTTACGTTAAAATTGACTTAAAATCGGCGTTGATGTTGGCGACGCTGAAGTAACTTTTTACAGCTGTAATATAAATGATTATTCGCAAGGAATTTTATTGTTGATTATGGAAAAATATGTTGAGGACCAAAACTCCACACAAAATTTACTAAGTCTGAGAGAAATATCTTTGAAATCATGTTAAAGAAAGCTTGAGTGTGGGCACCAGAATTTTGTTTTCAATGTAGGCACCAGATCTTTAAAAGCATTTTAGGAAATAAATAAAATATCAAAAGCCGCATAAAAACTAACATATAAATGAGCAAATATGTACGTGGATTCATTTCATACAAATTTACGTAAATCTGTTCCGTAATTCTGTACAGTATATTTATATTTATTAAGTTAAACCTATATAATTAGGATGTTATAGAACTCTAATATCCTCCGCGTCCAGGTGGTGGAGCTCCTCGAAGGATACCGGGAGGAGGACCTCTCATCGGTGGAGGGGCTCCACGTCCGAGAGTTCCAGCCATATTAGGTATACCGCCTGGTATAATACTTGGTGGGGGTCCGCCGATAATTGGAGCTCGTGGAACACCTCGGCCAATTGGTGCCATATGTTGCTGACCAGGACCTCCAATACCACGCACAGGTCCTTGCAAACCAGCTGGAACAGAAGATATATTAACTGGAACGCCTCTGCCAGCAGCTCTACCAATACCCGGACCAGAGAGAGCTCCAGGAATAGGTACACGAGGAAGTCCTTCTTCTGGTGGAGGAGGGCCCTCGACTGTTAATGACACTATATTTTCTCCACGAAGCAAAACAAATCCCAGAATTCTCTTTTCTTCTCGTTCTGGCACTTTTGTATTTTTTGAACGTATTTTCCTAAATTCTTCACAATCTCCAAGTATTAAATTCATATGTTTGTCAAACGCTTTGAATGTGCCTATGAACGTTCTTGAATCTTGTAAAACCACTCGCACTCTATAATTGAGGTGCTGTATCATTTTGTTGTTTTTGCCGATAGTCTGAAAATAACACAAATAAGGATATTAACAATAATTCAATAATAATTTTATGAACTTGCCATGTTGAAATCGCTGATTTATTCACACCGGGTATAAAACCTAAAGCCAAGCAGGGACAGAGAACAAAGTCAAAGCGAATGGGTCTGCGACGTTAATGTGCATGGTTGTTTTACAAAGCCACTTAGACAAAAAGGCAAAAAACTTTTTTGACGGCGGCGGCACAAAAAAATGATACCAAGTTGCGAAAATTTTACAGTTTGGTCCATACAATGGTACAATAAATAAGTAGTCCATTTAGCCAACTGATGTCCCGATGAACTGTCAAAGTGCGTAATTTCTACTTCCATTCGATGTGCAATGTAGCCAACCATGTGAAATATTATATGAAAAAATTTGACAGAAGGTCGAGACAACAGCAAAACTTTTTGTTGTGATACATCACCTTATTATTGCACCATGGACCATACCATGATGCAATGATAAGGTGATGTATCACAGCAAAAATCTTTGTTTTGGTCTCGATCATCTGTCTAATTTTTCTTTATAATATTTGACATGGTTGGCAACATTGCACATCGAATTCAAGAAGAAATTACGCACTTTGACAGTTAATCAAGACATCAGCTGCTCTAAATGTGCCATGGTCCATACAAACAAAATTTTTTATATTGTGGCTTGTTATGTCAAAGTCGTATATAAAATTAAAGTCATTTTAACAGCAAAATTGAAAACATCAGGTCTTATCGTTGGACATTAATTTCGTTGTATTTAGTATAATCAATTTAGTAATACGGTATAACTCCGGTTTGACGCTTATGTTAGTCAGTAGTCACACGGGCAAATTTTGTGGAAAAGCAAATTGAGTTTATGGGCGAAGGAGTTAAGAGAAATAAAAGGGGCTACAGATGTAATTGTTGTAAAAAGCTGAACATGGCTGCACTAGCATTTTCTTTAATTTTATGTTTTCTGTCGGCAAACAAATGCCAACGCAGTTAATAAAATTAAAATCTTTTGCGAGGAAAAAATAAAAAAAAATGCTTTTTTTTGCTGTCAAATAATACAAATTAAATTTTAATATGTCATTGCAAGCCACGGCTATAGCTTCTTCAAGAAATTCAAGAGTACCTTTCATAATTAATATTTTTCTTTTAATTCCATTAATTAATTTTCATGAACAATGGTCAATGGTGGATTAACGAAACCTGAAAATAAATTAAGGTTATTTACACTGACTTTGAGATCATTTAAAATTACTGTCAGCTGGTATTTGTTTACACATACACAATCTCAAACTTGTTTACAAAAAAAAAAAAAAAAAAAAAACAAATTTTAAAATCAAAAATATGATTATAAATCAAATTCTTATTGAAATTATATATGTATTTATAATTCTTTTTCAATTTCGCCAAATACGCAAAAGAGTCAAAAAAAAATTTTTTTCCGCTCAGTGCACATTTCTATTTAATTTGTTTTAAATGAAAAGTTTTAAATGAAAGCAGGAAACCCATTTTATCACGCAGGACATGTGTTTGGTAGCGCGCTATCAATTTGGGACCAATACGAATAGAGGCGTTTGTCTAGGCAGCTGTCGTTCTTCTGCTGCTACAGGCGGTGGATGGACTTCAAGTTCTGCATTCACATGGTATTGGTCCATTGCCTGGGTCACTGCTTCCGTGTTAATGCTGGTAATTCCTGATCGATAAGCCTGTTGATCTAGGGGTTCTCTTTTGTTCCGTTGGACCTCTCTCTAGATCATGTAGTTCTCTCTTTACATGCCTGGGTGGGGAATTCTATACATAAGATGATGATTCCTGCGATAACACCCAAGCAGGTATTGCGTCGACAACATTCTGTTGTGACGATGTATACGGGTAAGACCATTGCCTCCTCACGTAAATTGTCCACTGGTGTCATAGGCACCCTGTCGCAGTTCTCAGGGCGGTATTCTGGCAAGTTTGAATGTTCTTCCAAGTTTTAATGTTCTTGATTACATTGTTGATGTTGAGGGACGGAAAATCTGTTTCTCATCAGAGGGAGGAGTATGGACTCAAGGGTCTTTGCTACTGGAGACTGAAGGGAAATCGGATTGTACGATTCACCTCAGCTGTCATCCTTGCCTGGCTTCAGTAGTGGGACCACCTGCATATTTTCCAGGCATCAGGAACAATGTGGGTGTCTAAAAACAGGTTGAGAACAGCAGTTAATTACTCTACTCCATGTTCATCCAGCTGCTTCAGCATTGCCATTGAGATTCCTTCCGGGCCCGCTTTGGATGATTTAGCGTTTCGAATGACATCTGCAACATCATCCTTCGTAAATTGTAGTGGTACCTCCTCGACTCCCAGGGCTCTAATACGACGAAGCACACTCCTTTTCGCATTGTCATTCTCGGGGTGCTCTATAAACTGCCGGTTAAAGAACTCGCGCACCTCTTCGGATCAGTCACCGTTTCGTTGTTAAACGTGACTTAGCCCTTGCCCACAATTTACTTGTTGCGGCTACAATGTTCAAAGCTTCAGGTGCTCTAGCTACATTTTCGGCTTGTGCTCGCATACTAATCTCTTGACTTGAAAGATGTGTTCCCTCACTCTTTGGTCTCCTGGTGTTGTTCGACGAAGCTCATTCGCAAGCACCGTCGCCTCTGCTGGGAAGTTTTGTCCTCACTTCGTGTATACGACCAGTATGTATATGGAGGTCGGCTGCAGAAGTGACGATGTCCCGGAAATTCCACTCAGTTACCCGAAGATCTGAGAGAATGGGCGGGTCTCTGAAGCGGCGATTGATAAATTCTCTGAAACCAAGCCAATCCATCGCCCAGGAAAGTTCGGCGTTTATAGGATATGAAATCGGGTGGTCTATTTTCAGAGACGATTTACGGGAGGTGGTCTGAACCAAGAGAAATTATGGGTTGCCAGACTACGTCTTTTATCAGAGGTGCCACAATGGTGATTTCAAGCGAGCAGTGGCAATCTCCTCTAATCCTCGTGGGGTATCCCCATTCACCGTGTAAAACGTGGAGCTGTCATTCTGCTCTTTCAGCGCTGTACACCTCTGGTCATAACCTAGGACGGAATGCTAGAGCTCATGATGAAATCACCTAGCAACAGACGCAACACGTTGTAACCATCGAAACGGTACAAGCTACAGGTATCGTCCTCGGTAATGACCAGAGGGGTACAGCGCTGGCTGAGCAAATTGATAGCTCAACATTTTGCACGGTTAATGAGGATCCCCACGAGGATAAGAGGAGATTGCCACAGCTCGCCAGACATCACCATTGTGGCACCGGGTCTGATAAATGACGTAAACTGGCAACCTGTCATTTCACTCGGCTCAGACCACCTTTCGATCGTCGTCTCCGTCAACAGACCAGACCACCTCTGAAAGACGTACTTTCCTGAACCATTTGAAAGCAGATTGGCCTGGCTTCAGAGAGTATACTATCACTGCCATCAAAAAAAAAGGATTTTTGTTTAATCACAAAAAACCAGAACATTTGACCCTCAATATTTTTTTGATGGTATGCATAACATATTCGATCCTTAACTTCTAACTATTTCTTGAATATGTCATATTTTTAATAAGGTGGTCACTAAAAAACATAAATACCTTTTAGGTCTGCAATATCCATTTTATAATATCCGTTAATTTAAATATTCAACGATTTTAGCATCGGAAAATTTTACCCATTTTTCGAAAATAACAGCGAAAAAAGCAGTTTGCCAACAATTATCAGATTTTAACCCTTGTATATACAAAACTACTTGACGTATCAGTACAAAATTTGGAGTGTTTTCTATCAATTCTCATCAATAAATTTGTCCTCCGAGGAATTTTTTTTTTGACCATTTTTGGCCACGGTCGTGACACTGTGGGCAGTGTAACCGAACAGTTATGGTGGCACTAGACCTATCGAAGGCCTTCGATACCGTCAACCATGCCAAGTTGTTCGAAGATATAGAGAGAACAAATCTCCGACCGTGTTTGAAACGTTGGATAATCAACTATATGTGAGGCCGCCAGTCGTGTGTGGAATTCGGAAACAGGAAGTCTAAACCCCGTAGAGTGAAACAGGGAGTTCCCCAAGGAGGGGTGATATCTCCGAAACTGTTCAACCTCTACCTTTCTGTTATTCCACAACCACTGGACGGCATAGAGATCGTAATGTATGCGGATGATTGCACGATCATGGCGTCGGGTCCCATTATTGATAATATATGTGAGAGGCCAAACGTCTACATAGCCGATCTTGTTTCTTGCATCTGAGGAATATGAAAATATCCGCTACCAAGTCAACAGTCACGCTGTTCACCACATGGGAAGCTTAAATGAAGCTCCCACTGAACATAACTTCCCACTGAACATAACTTCCACGATAAAAGGAAAGAATACAATAAATTGACAAGAACCGCCTACACAAAACCATGGAACGTACAATCGACACCATGATAAAGAGCAGTATACCCAATGATACGCTGAAATACAAACAACATGCGTATATAAAGGGGAGATCATTGGAAACCGCTTTACATGAGGTGGTACACTATATTGAGGGCACCTCCGCTGAGAAGATGTATACCTTAGTACCGGTATGCATTGGCAATGGAGGAGCCTTCAACAATGTTAACACTAATACGCTTATCCACTCCTTATATACCTTCCAAGTTGACCGGGCAATCATAGACTGGGTTACATGAGGTAGTACACTATACTGAGGGCACTTTGGCGAGAAGATATATACCTTAGCGGTATGCATTGGCATTGAAGGAGCCTTCAACAATGTCAACACTAATACGCTTATCCAATTCTTAGATACCTTCCAAGTTGACCGGGCAATCATAGACTGGGTTAACTATATGCTAAGGAATAGATGGATTAGCTGTAGCATACATGACATAACAATCAGAGACAAAGTAGGCCAGGGTACACCACAGGAAGGGATTTTGTCACCGCTACTGTGGTGATTTGAACCAGTCTGTTATGCAGACGACATTTTAATACTT